ATATATGAGAATATATGTCATATGTGATCATACTGTATAGTAATATGTTGTCGTATATGTAATACATATATAGAGAGAAATTATGATAGTCACAACATTTCCCCTTTTGCTTCCTCTAAATTCTTCAGTGTATTCCTCTGCTCTCTTGTTGATATATGTATGCATATTCCAGAATACATAAATTCAAACTACTCAGTCTGCTTAACATTACTTGTGTATGTTTACAGGACTGACCATTTGGTCTTGGCTAGCCATTACTGTGATCTTCATCAGGGAAGACTATTCCTTATTTGCCTGTAGTTCTTTTTGTAGGATTTCTCCTACATTAGCAGTTCATTCCATGTTTAGACATTCAGGTTGGTGAGGTGAGACTTGATTGGTCTAGCTTCTGACATTTCCAGGAGATGCAGCTTCACAGTGAACTCCCTATTCCTCTGGCTCTTCAAAATTTTCTGCCCCATCTTCTACAATGATCCCTGAAGATTAGTTTTCTTAAGGTGTTATTCTTGCCATTTGTCAACTTTTTGATCTCTGAACTAACTGTTTGGCAGCTCATTTATTTGCATAATCTTGCTTTTATACTTTTGGAGCAAATATCTTTGTAAAGGCTTCCCGGAATATACATTTTGAGTATGCATATGTCACATATAATCAGTTGTATATCTCTTGCCTGGACCCTCTTACATTCAAATATTCAAATCATTAAATCGATTTTTAAATAATAATTGTGCTAGACTCTGTAATAGAGGTTTCTGCTCATCACTCATATTTGTTCTCAGGACTCTGACACAGAGTATATCATACTCTGGTTTCCACAAACGAATATCAAAATACTGAATAAGTAATAGAATTTAAAAGATGAATTTTTTATATAATGATTGAATACTTGTACAGGAAAATGTACTGAAGAAGAACATTTGAAAGCCTTTCCAATATTTAGCACTAATTTGGTAAAGTAGCATTTCTCAAAAATGATTTGTTAAAAAAATAAAATGCAGGCAGGCAAGCAGAAAGATTTTATAAATCAGCCTTGTTTACTCTGAAGTAAAATTAAATTCTCAATAAAAGAGTATAGATAGTTTGATTTACAGAGCAGGTTCCAAATGTCAGATGAACAGTTCAAATTAGGAATCTAAAAGGTTTTATGACTGAACAAAATTAGATATAGAGCTAAACCACACAGTATGGGTTTCTTATATATTAAATGTTTCAAATATTAACTTTTAGGGTTTTTTTTTTTTTTGGGAGGGTGATATTGTTAGTACAGGGTCTTACTGTGGCGTTAGGCTGGCCTGAAATTCACTATCTAGAAATCCTCCTGCTATGACCTCTAAACTAATACTTTAAAACATTTTGGAATTAAAATGAAGAGGTTTCAGAAACTGGGACTAGAGTGATGTCTCAGCAGTTAACAATGGCTGCTCTTCCAGAGGATCAGTGTTCTAGTTCAGCACCCACATGGTGACTCACAGCTCTAACTCTAGTTGTGGTGAGTCCAGTGCCCTCTTCTGACCTTCATGTACTCTAGGCACACAGTGATGCACTTGCCATACGTCATACACAGACACACGTCAGGCAAAATGCCCATAAACATAAAATAAATTTAAAAAGAAGTGTCAGAAATGTGTGCATTTATTTTACTATTACTCCAGATATCACTACTAAGATCTGGGAGGAAACCAGATACCATCTTATTTGGAAGCTTCTCTGTCTCCTCTAGAAGTTCGGAAAGGAGGATGGTCACAGTGAAATACTCACTGGTGATTCTCAAAGAATTCAAGGAGTCTTATAATCTGCCAGATTAAATTAGCAGAAAAGTTATAAGTTTAGTAAACAAATAGCAGCATAGCTATCAGATAGGGTTGAAGAGAAGCACAAATAAAACCAGAACAACAAAAGCAGAACACTAAGAGTAGAACACTGGATGGAGAAAGATGCTGAAGTAGGTCTAGAAATGCATACATTAGATAACTGGACCAAGTTGTAGATAATAGTATAATTGTTCTTAAAGGGTCAGAGTCTTCAAAATCTAACACAGTAGAACTGTTGTTGTCATATGAATGTGGGGGCTTTTATAACCTCAGTGTTCACAGCCTATCCTGCCTCTTTCATGAGGAGTCTTTGCTCCTCATAAACAGGACAGCATAAGACTAAAGGTTTTTAATGAAATGTCTTTGAAGGCAATTTTTATTATTTATATAATGATCTTTTTTGAGTTACTTATAGAGATATATATTTATGTTATAAAGCATGACCTACTTATGATAGACTGTCTGCTTTATGCCCCTAAAATTTCTCATTTAGTGTTTGAGGGTTCCATTCTTATGTCAGTTATCTCAGGAAAACAGAATGGTGTTTTCCATAAAGCTAACAATGAGAGAGTTTTCAGATCTCTAAAATTAATTGAAAATCTTTAAATATAATATTTTCGTATAATATTATGTTGAACATCTCATTTCTTTTTTTAAGATTTATTTATTATTTTATTTATGAGTACACTGTTGCTATCTTCGGACACGCCAGAATAGGGCATCCAATCTCATTACGGATGGTTGTGAGCCACCATGTGGTTGCTGGGATTTGAACTCAGGACCTCTGGAAGAGCAGTCAGTGCTCTTAACCGCTTAGCCATCTCTCCAGCCCCATAATATTATGTTGAAATGTCAGTTACTTCACAATATGTAGTTACGATACAATGCTTCTTTCTTCCAATTCGTGTCTTCAACAAAGAGAACGAAAACGACTTACCAAAGCTACTAATTTCTTATGTATCTTACATTTACCAATATGAATAATATCTGTTCTTATTTTTATTATCTATACTTAATACAAACAAAACATAGAATGAAGTTTTATGAAAGTTACTTTTGTATCGTAGTTTGCCTCTATATTAATATTACTTTTTTGTCTCAAAAGGATTTTATGTTTGTAGATTTCCAAGCTCATCACCAAGGCTTCTTTTCTTTTTCTTTTTTTTTCTATTTTATTTATTTACATTTAAGATATCATCCCCTTCCCCCATTTCCCCTCCCTAGAAACTCCCTAACCCATCCCCTCTCCTCCTTTTTGCTTCTATGCCATTTTAATTATATGCAAGTATTAAGGTCAGTTCTAGGTTGAGGAACTAGAAATACAATAGATGCAAATAGTCAAAGAACAAGCAAGACAATAAACATAAGTAGTCAAAGAGCAAGTAAGGCAATAAGCAAAGTTCCATGAACACTCCCATGATCAATGTTTCTAAGGGCTTTTCAGGATGACCAAAATATCTGAGCCTACTTCCCTGTCCTAGCCCAAAGTTACTTTCATGTCTGAAGCCTACTTCCTTGTTCTAGCCTAATATTTAGATCCCTGCCTGAAATTACTTCTTTGCTCTAGCCTAATGTCAGATTCCTGCCGAGCAGCCCATATCCTTGTCTTTGGCCCATGTCAAATTCCTGCCAAGCACCCCCAAAAGCTCTCCACATTTCCCCCTTTTTTGTTTCATAGCAAGAGTGAGCCTGTCTTAGGTTGTTCTGACAAGAATGCCTTTCTTGCCCGTCGTGGAATATCCATTATCAAAGGCAATGCATTTCTGTCTTAGGGTGGTAAGGCTCTATGCAGAATCTTACCTGTCCTTGGCTTGCCAGCCTATTAATTTAATAACTCTATCTGGGGGTCCAATTTTAGTTTCAGGCTATGTATTTTGGCTGCCAACATGTTGATGTTGTTAAAGACAAGTTTTAACAAGATCAGCAGGAAAAAAATATTTCCAGGACAAAGGGGCTAGCAGGATCAAGCTATATATGCCATTCTTGAAGCTTGATCAAAATAGAAATACTGACCTCCAGCCATGGATATTTTATCAGCAGTATCTACACCATCAAATCTCAGTAGAGCTGCATTCTTTAAATTCATAAGCTCACTATGCAAAGTTAAAATATCCAGAGAGGTGTTAGACTTAATGCCAAGGCTACTTTTTAAAGGTGAAGAATTATTTCTTCTGGAGTTAATAAAGTACACGTTGCAATCAGCGTTTTAATTTTAGTGATAATGCTTTTCTCACAAATTTTATTCTGCCATGAAATATATTTTATCTCTTTAAAATAAATATTGCTTAGTGTATACAACTTAAATAATTTTTGTGGTATAATTAGGTAGGCATACACAGTAGATTTTTTTGATGACATTGAGGTTAAAATTATTACATTTATTTTAATATTATGATAATGTCTACTGAAATAAATCATCTTTACTGGTATGTCAGGCACTCTTTTAAGCCAGTGATATTTTTTATTTACATTTTATAGACAGGAAATGATATGTTAAATATCTTGTACGGCATCATACACTTATTAAGTGAAATTTTTCCTCCAGGCTGAATCAGTTCCATTGCACAGTATTGATTCACTATCATCATATTTTTATATTTGCTATTTTGAGAATAATGTATGTTTAAATTGATGGTCCTCAACATCAACTGTAATCACTTAGGCAATGTAAAACATAGCAGCTGATCTCACTTCCATAGGCTTTGTCAGTTAGCACAGGTGTGGCCTTCTCTGCCAAGTTTTAGAAACTCAGGTCGCAAGTGTGTAGCCCGACTTGTAAGCTATTCCTCCAATCAATGGTTCTCAACTTTCAGGGGTTGAATGATCTTTTCATGGAGGTTGCATATCAGCTACCCTGCATACCAGATATTTACATTATAATTCATAACTGTAACAAAATTATAACTATGAATTAACAATGAAATAAGTTTATGGTTGGGGTTCACCACAACATGAGGAACTGTATAAAGGGTCACAGCTTTAGGAAGGTTGAGAACCACTGATCTAAATGCCTTCTGCTCAGGAACATGGGATGACAAACGCTGCATTGCACATACCCAATTTTCAGAGTGACACTAGTAACTATGTTAAAGTCCATGAGTGTGTTTTCATAAGAATGGTCATTTGACTCAACACTTTTCCTGTATGTCTATGTCCTTTTATATATCATGTGTCATTTGCTTCATGCAGATATAGCCATATTTGCCTTGCACAAGAGACCTCGGGGGAAGTGAGAGCCTACCAGTAGCTGAGCAGCTGACTATGAATTCTGAGCAGAACATGCACGAATTAGGCAATGAAGTCCCATCTGAGGACCTTGAACTACCAGGAAGAAAATCCAGCAATTTTCAGGTCATCGGTCCTTGTCCAGATGAAGGTCTATCTGCAAAGTGTAGGTGTGTGTTGGTTTTGGTATTTAATTTAAAAAGTAAGAATTGGAACAGTACTCTTTCCTTAATACATTTTCCCTCTTCTTCATTTTGGTGTCAGATAACTTTAATGTGTTAGAGACTTGAAAACAATTTCAGTGTGAAGGGGAGGAGTATGGGGGAAGAACTCTGAGAGGGGGGACTAGGAGGTGGAGCAACAGTTGGGATATAAAGAAATAAAATAATTAATTTAATAAAGACCAATTTCAGGTCTCGGTAAGGGTTTCAATTTCTTCCATGATATTGATATGATGTATCTAGATAGCTGAGAGAAAGCACAAAATGGGTTTAAAGAAAGCAATGAGATTTGATTCTTATTCAATATTATTTTCTATGATTTTTATTATATAAGGATACTTGCGAAACTGATATAAATGATATATTATTCACCAAAGGTCAAACCTGCTCAGAGGTGTTTATTTTTCCATCGACATGTTCTCCGTTTTGGGTGATTTGAATATTTTTAGAGTGAACTTGTATTCTATCTACTTTTTCCCTTTCTTATTATTCTACATTCTGTGCCTTTAAGTCATCCTCTGTGAAGAAATTTGAGTCTATGACACTTGTGTTTATTATGAGTGAGACTATGCTACTTTGATAATTAACCATGTGCAGTAAAGATAACATGAGATTTTTAAATGACAACATAATTCTGATTTTTGTATTTTTTAGAGTTTTACTTTAAAAGTTTTGTGGGTTTGCTGATTTGTTCAAAATTGTTCAGATGTATTCATTGATATCAATACATAGTAAAATCAATAACTGTATTGGTGTTTTTCTGGCTTAGTGTCAACTGAAGTACAATTGGGAGTAAATTTTAGGGTATAGAGGCAAGGATGATGGGAGAATGGATAGACATGTTTATAATCATATAAGAAACATCAATGGTAGAGCCTGTGTTCCTGCCATGAGCTCTGCGGTATAATTCAGTGTAAGAGCATGAGAGCCCTACACTCACCGTCTGTCCCAGGACTCAGTGCCAAAGACCAGCTTAAGTAACACACCCATCAGTGCTCACGTAACACTGTAGCATCAGAAACAGCCCATCTTTTTCTCCTTTCTTCTTTATACTACCTGCTTACAGGTTGATATTGTTGTCAGCTGTAGTTTTTTCCCCCAGCAGTTTATCATTCTTTCTTTTCTTTTATGGTGACCACATGTAATCCAAATATATATTTATTTTATTGAATACTTTATGTATTTACATTTCAAATGCTATCCCCTCAGGAACCTCCTTCTCCCCTCCCCCTCCCCTTGCTTCTATGAGGGTGCTCCCCCTCTGCCTCCCTGCCCTGGCATTTCCCTACACTGCAGAATCCAGCCTTCCCAGGACAAAGGGCCTCTCCTCCCATTGATGCCAGACTGCCATCCTTTGCTACATATGCAGCTAGAGCCATGGGTCCCTCCATGTGTACTCTTTGGTTGGTGGTTTAGTCCCTGGGAGCTCTGGGGGGTCTGGTTGTTTGATATTGTTGCTTTTCCTATGGAGTGTCAAACCCCTTCAGCTCCTTCATTTCTTTCTCTAACTCCTCCATTGTGGTCCCTGTGCTCAGTCCAGTGGTTGGCTGCAAGTATCTGCATCTGTATTGGTCATGCTTTGGCAGAACCTCTCAGGAGACAGCTGTAACAGGCTCCTGTCAGCGAGCACTTCTTGGCATCTGCAATAGTGTCTGGGTTTGGTGTCTGCATATGGGATGGATCCCCAGGTGGGGCAGTCTTTGAATGACCTTTCCTTCAGTCTCTGCTCCACCCTTTTTCCCTGTATTTCCTTTAGACAGGAGCCTTTCTGGCTAAGAATTCAGAGATGAATGGGTGGCCCCATCTCCCAACTGGGGACCTTGCCTAACCTCTGGATATGGTCTCTTCAGGTTCTTATGGAATGTATTTACTATTAACTCTTTGGGGAATAGATATTAATTTTAATGTCTTTCAGTTAATAATGAAAAGGTGACTAAGATACTCTTTTCGTAGAATTAGGGAAAAGGTTGTTTCCTTTTTCGTAAAACACACACACACACACACACATATGTGAATATATATATATACATACATACATATATATAAATTTATGTATATAAATTATAGAATACAAACACACACACACACACATATATATATAAATTGATTCCAAACGGAACTACAAATCAAAATATTTATAGCTTCTAATCTGAACTCTTGTCAAGTGTGCTGAACCAGACCTAATCAGACTGAACCAGAGTCTCTTTGGGATCACTGTGTGTTTCCACAACTCAGTTTTCCTGTTGGTAAGTTGATATATTTATTGTTTTGTAGTCATCATACTTTAACTACATCAAAGTTTAAACTTTAATACCTTTTCTTATTTATTGTTAATAAGAAATATATATCCTGTATGGAATCATGTATATTAATTATTTAAAAGTCCTCTTTATTTACAGTGTTATGGAATGTGGAACGAATTATGAATCTGTGATTTCTCATCAAGCTATCCCAGACTTAAATAAAGAGGCATCAGTAGCATATCTTCAAAAAGAACTGGAAATTCTCAGAGCAAGCAATAAAAAGGTATAGAAATGTAGAAGTCTAATTTCTGTAAACAGTGTTTTAACTGTTGACAGTTCTAGTTTTCTCTGTTGTTCATTAGGATTCAGTTTTACTTTGTGTTTTAATTCTTCAGTGGTAGATTTGTGTTGGTTGTCATCCAGGTATGATTCAGTTAGGTGATTGGCTATGAAAATAAGCTTTTTTGGTTTTCTGTCATATCACCCATTTTCATAAAGCTTTGCTGGCAATTTATGTTATTAACAATACTCATATTTCATTTGATTTCACCGTTGTGGAATGTGGGCTACATTATCAGCCAATTTCATGCTATTCTGTTTATTTTTATTTATTTTTAGTATCTATGCATGCTTTCATATCAGTAATATATGTAATCAAGCATCAAAGGTGCAAACGGTGCTATGTGGCTTGTATCCTGTTCTACTATTGCATGCATCCAGCTCAGTGTACATGTAATGTTTATTTTCCTCTGGCACTAACCCAAATTCCCCTGGTCTGTAAATAATTTTATTAAACAATGTTCACTTTTTATGGGTTCTGTTAAAATTTCTATACGGTTTTCTGATCATACTAATTTTGTTGTTTGATATAATCAGACTGAAGCCCGAATGTTGTTTCTCAAGCGAAACAAGACAAATGACAAAAGTGTAGGGAAGAATGGAAAAAAGTAAAAGGAAACATTCTGTTTGAGCATGATATATTTTCTATACTTTGATTTAGCAATATTACATACCATATTTAAATCAGTGACAGTGCCAATTCAAATGGCATGTGATGAGACAGTATTCACAGTCAGATTTATATCAGATATTAAGATTATAATCTTAATTTTGTTTCAAAATATTAGAATGACTAAGAGAAGCATAATCCTACTGCCTATTACTTTAGGGTCAGTAGAGTCCTTCAGAATCCTTTGCTTTAAGGCAAAGGAATGAATGAAATGTCTTCTTGTAGCAAGTACTTTTAGGGATAGTGTTGCTTCTGTCTTATGTCTGTATGCACATATACATATGCATGTGGATTGGTATTTTCCATTTTCTACAGTTTCAGGTAGTCATTACAGAGAGTGTATTGCAACCTTAATTTTGCCCTCTAGAATCAGTGTATTTAAGCAGTTAAATACTACATAAGGATTTAAGAACAATAAAATCCTACTTTAGGATTAATTATATATGGAAGGCATTTACTAGATAAGAACATTTTTTTTCTAATATATTTTAGCTTCAAGAAAAACTAGCTAAAGAAGACAAAGAAAAGAGAAAATTGAAGTTGAAGTTGGAACTCCAGGAGAAAGCAGCGGAGGCCGACATTGCGGAAAGGACTGCAGGTAGTGGCAAAGTGTTCGCGTTAAGCTCGAAGGTGATTGTGTGATGTGTACTGGTGGATACCAGCTCATTGCCTTGTTTGCCAAGGGAGGAGAAGCTTTTTTCCCCTTTTGGCTGCTTAGAAAATAGGTGGCTTTAACATCCTGGTACTGGTATTAGTGAGGCTTTACCTGTATTCACACTGATTTGGGCATTAAATGCATTGTTAACACCATGTCAATCCAATCACAAAAAGGTTGTTTGTTTTGTTGGAAGGGCCTGAACAAACAAGGGGAAATCTTGATTACCAGTGTCTCTGCCTTTCAACCAGCAGTTCAAATACCACTTACTGTTTTAGTTCTGAGAGGAAGTACTTCTCCTTTGTATTAAGGTAGTCCTATGTTCCTTACCAATGGAAACCTACATTTGATTACAAAAACTGTTTCATGCAGTTAATAGGTTAATATCTGGCGATGCAGATGATGACAGAGATAGTGTTTCCCTGAGATTAAAGAGAAAGGTTGAGGCAGTTTAATCTCGTATATGACTGCCTTACATTTTGGAAGCTATCTTACTCATACACAGGTCTTTGCAAGGAGAAAATTTTAAAACATATTTGTGTGTTAGGGATGTGGTCGGTCACTGGATTCTGAAGTCTGGGATTTCCAACTATGTAATCCATTGTAACCTTTTTTTTTTCTTGCACTATTTTTTGTTAAGAAAAGTAAGAATTTTAAAATGTTAGATAAGTATGTAGAAGTATTTTAGAGATTATGTGATTAACAATTTGTATTTTATAAAATCATTTATTGACTAAATTCAGGTCATAATATTTTAAATTCTTAACTTGGTTACATATAGAAAAGAATTGGGGAGGGCTAATACAGTTTATCTTCAAATTACAGTGGACAGTAATTCTAAATAAATACCATTGTGATAATGTAATTAAGATGACCATAAATAAGTAATCTAGTTGGATACTGGATGGCTACTTTTCTATTAGTGTCAAATAACCATACATTTTTGTTTCTTTGTGATAGGAAAATATAAGAATATGTTTTAAGGAAAATTGATAATATATTAAAAGTGAATAATAACAAGTAGAAGTTCTAAACCTATTGGGAAGTTTCCTGACTTTAAAAAATTACATATATATGTATATACTTATATATAATTGCAAAGCCAGTACTGTAATAAATAGATTTTGTTTTTAAATATTTTATATGTAGTACAGAAATAATTGAATATATTTGGGGCCATTATGACAGTAATGATTCAATATAGCTAACTAGTCTCTTTCTTGAAGAGACTCATTGAGCAGTATTATTTACAATTTAACTTTTGAATAATACAGTTCAGCATGTAGTTCAAATATTTATTCATTGTTATTTATTTAAGAATTCATGGTGGAACAAATTGAATAATACGTGCAAACGTGGAAAAATTTAATTGTTCTTATTAGTCATATATTTTTCATTCACAACAGAATATTGTTTTACTATGTATAGAAAGTTTTAATTGTCTTACTTTCACCTACCTGATGAAAACAACAGGGCCGGATAGTTTCTCTGAAACATAGCAATGGAATAAGGAGATAAAAAGGAAACAGGGAGGATCTTTCACTGATTTCAAACTCAAAAACGTTTGTCCTTTGTGTGTTCTTGAAATTTTCATCATTTCTAAGTGGATACAAAATTTTGATGAACTCATAGTCTACCTAGTATTATGAAGTGCGTTCCAAAGCAGACCACTAGAAAGTAAAAGCAGTGACGTCAGCACAGTAATAGAAAGAGAAGCACTGTGGGGCTGAGTACATGTCAGTGACGCTTCATTTCTTGTAACTCAGAAGAACCTATGATCCATGTAAGTGTTTGTTTGTTACTTCACTTCACATTTCTTATTTAAAAATATGTATTTGGTGAAGTGTAAGATGAATACACATGTGTCTTTTAATGTTTCTAAACAAAGTATTAATGTTTACAAAACAGATTCCACATAAAGTAAATAATGGATGAACATGAAACTAAATGTTAGAAACTGCAAATATGATGCAAAAATATTTGTAGGTTTAAAATTTGTTAATATGTGACAAATATCCCCTTCTAGTAGATATTTTCTTGGGGTAGATTAAATATAAAAATTTATAAGAATGTTATTATTGTGTTAGTTCTGACTATAAGCATAAAAAAATCTAATGAGGGTTTTTGTAAATAAATTATGGTACATTCATGCTCTGAGATGTGTTGTAGTAATTAAGGATTTCCTGAGCAATATTTAATGCTATGCAAAGTCCTTCCTATCTCTAAATTAAGTAAAAGATATGATTTTGTTAAAAGAGTCCATTTTATACACATATGTTGAATGAAAGATAAATTGTCTTGGTCTTTAAATGATTCCAAGTTCAGATCCTGTAAAAGTCAGATGT